ACGTATAGTGAGTACTTCACTGACAGAGTACACGTATAGTGAGTACTTCACTGACAGAGTACACGTATAGTGAGTACTTCACTGACAGAGTACACGTATAGTGAGTACTTCACTGGCAGAGGCAGACAAGAGAAAAAAAAGGACACAACTCAAGAACCTTCTGAAGCCGATCGTTTGTCTTTGCAGCGTTTTATTCTTAAAGAATCTAGACTCTTTCAAAACTAATAAAAGGACTTGGGACCAAAACTCGCTGAAGAGCTAAGAAACCAAAACAAACTTTTTGAAATATCTCTTAAAAATAAAATTCTTACGACTGAACTTGGAGTAGGAAACAAGATCGTAACAGGAAGTCTGACAGACGTACGCAGGTTGGAAGACCTTCGTGAAGGTCTACGCCCTGCCGCCGGCAGCCTTGCACAGCAGGAAGATGGCGGCGGCTCCGAGCGCACTGGTACCGGTGACGGTCAGAAACCACGCTCTCCAGCTGCTGGAGGAAGGAGGCTGAGGGAGCTGATGGCAATCTTTGGCTTCATCCATCTGAGGGAAGACAACAAACGGAGTTGAACACTGGACAAAGAAAAAGCCATTTTGACGTCAGACAGGAAGCAGAACCTGCTCAAACCCTAAACCTGGATTACAACACGTGGAACAGTCAGGTTTAGGCCAGCCTTGAAGCTTCTGCTCATTTACTGCTATCGAAATATCTTCAGCTCATTCTGAGGTGAGGCCATGTCTGGACCCACTGCACCACTGCTCGAGTCCCTCAAACTTCTCGAGTCAATCCCTCCAGGATTCCCGGGTCAAGTGGAGCATCCGGTCTGTCAGAGGGTGATGCACCAAAGAGCTGAATCCTCATCACGTGAGAAAGATTAAAAACCACGGAGCTCCAAGTTTGCTTCTTAGAAAAAGGCCTTGAAAGGCTGAACTGGGATTTGTTCAAACTTCCTGGATTCATACAAAGAAGTCTTTAATCCCACAGGAGGAGAATGAGCCCAGATCCAGCAGCCGACACTCCCCACCCAGAACGACTCAATAGTTTTCTCTTTCTAAAACAACATTTCTTGTTGTCTTAAAACTTGTGGACAGCCAGTAAAATGTGTTTCAGTCTAAAAACCCACATCTGAAATATTTGGGCAAAGATTTGGTGACAAGGTGTCCTTGGACTCCACAGAGTAATCTTCGTTATTTGAGGAAACAATACTTTGGACCTATATAAAACTAGAACGCAGTTTCCTCCGATGATCGAGGCGGTCAGTTGCATTTATATTTGGTGGCAGCCATCTTGGATTCTGTTTGACAGTGTCCTTTCTTACGTGTCAGTTACAAGATCGGACGTCAGTGTCTCACTTTATTTTGAAAGTAGTTGGCTCATGAGGAGACGGAGGGGCTGAGTGTATTCCTAGTTCCTCTCTTCGTTCTGCGATGGGAGACAAAAACCAGCAAATGCCAACACTGTTAGGTGTCTCTTTATTTAGGCTCACTGGTAGTAACAGTCAGTGTGCCGAAACAAAGAGGCTTTCATAACAAACGTACGTTTTGTGAGCGTTTTAAAACTGGGGTGCCAATACGTCGATCTCAATCTACTGGTGGACCTCCCAAGGTATTCTGGGTAGATGTCATTAAAACTAGACATCAGCTAATCTTCCATCTTTGACGTGTGTCTCTTGACTGACAGGCAGGGCAGCCAGTCTGAGCCTCGTTTACACGACGTGAAACGTTCATTTACAGACAACGTCCTGATCCTCTCTGAACCTGAAGGTTTCTGAGTCCAGGTCTCAGAGTGGACATGTTCAGAGGAACCCCCCACGGAGGACTGAAGTGGCACATGAACACTCCAGGCAGCTGCAGTCCAAAGTTTCTCTACTCTAACATCAGTTATAATAAATAACAACAGTTATAATAAATAACATCAGTTATAATAAATAACTGTTGTTATTTATGATAACTGTTGTTATTTATGATAACAACAGTTATAATAAATAACAAAAGTTATTTTTTTATAACTGTTGTTATTTATTATAACTGTTGTTATTTATGATAACAACA